TAATCAAGTCTCACGATTCTAGCGCAAGGCTTCTGAGCACTTGTTTTGTCCTTCACTGTGGGAGTTTCTTGTCTACCTTGGGTGGCATCAGCTGGCCAGCTCCCTTGAGGTTGATGAGAGCCAAGTGTGTAGGTGTTCTGCAGCAGCAGCAAGATTGGCTCAGTGGTGCTGGGGGCTCCTCTTGACTCTCTGAGCTTCCTTGGGTATGAAAGGTGGGCCAAGCTATGGTCTCCATGCTTAGCCAGACCGTCCATGTCATGGTTCTGCAACACAAACACACAGGTTCTGCAACTGAAACACACAGTTCTTGGTTTGGGTCAGAGGAAGGTTAGTTCCAGTGTGCAAAGTTAACTATCACGTTTTCATGCACTAGTCCCAAGCAGGAGATGACTCTCACTGGATGGAGGTTGCACTCCTGCAGAAACAAGGTGAGAGGGTAGAAGAAAGGTGCTGGCAGTCTCTGCCATATTCTTGGATCTCTTGGTTATTCTTCCACTTAAAGTTTGTGTCTTTTTCTTTTGGTGAAACTAAATCCTTACCTTCATTTTAACATAACTTTCTTTGTTGAAGTGTACCCAGGTTCCTTCTGTTTGTTTTACTACCAGAAAATTTCTGTATTGAAAAGGAAAAGTCAATGACGTGGAATTAAAAAGGACTCATCTAGATCTCATCATAATAAAAGTGCTTGGAACAAATGAGTTTGGGATTCATATTGTGGCTTATGCTGCTTTGGAGTGCTTCGTTTTATCATCAGAGAGGCATCATTTGTTTAAACTGTGCTCCTGTATGACATCTGGTTTGAAAAGCATAATAACCTATATAATCAGCTTTTAAAACGTTGGATTATCTGTGGGTTTATTGACTCTTCTTTACAAAATCTGTTATTTCTAATTAATTCTCCATATAACTGTTACTAAAGCCAACTTGCAGACACACAAATGAGCTTGATGGCAATGGCTAGTCAAGGTCAGCTTTTAACTGCCAGCATTTGCACTGTTGAGGATAATAAATCAGACTTACTCCTAATCACATACCCTACAACGTGACAAGTGTTAGTGGAGCCATCTAAGCAACCATTTTACAAATCATTTAGAAGATACATTTGGCATTGTTAAACTGCTCCATGCTGCCCTTGGCTGTAAAAGTGTTGTGATAAAATATGTATGCTCTGTTAGATCTCCTGTGTTTGAATCCTGCAGAGTGTGTGTGTGGTGGGGAAGGTGTCTGTGCTTTTTTTTTCTTTTTTTCTTTGCAGTGGAAATAATGAGAGGTGTGAAAGTAATAACACCTAATCCAACTATGGAAGCTTCTGGCTTCTGAAAGCAGTGATGAAATATGAGTAGCCAGCCACAGAGCTTGCAACTCATGTTTCTTCTGTTTTCATTTAGAAGTTTGTATTGAAAGTAGGTTGCTGCCCACAAGAAATTTTCTGTATGAACAACAGTCCGTTGTGTGAAAGCTTAAAAAGCCTGGTAAATATGAGAGCAATAGTAGTTAGGCTCCAATTTGGATAAATATGTAAACACAGTATTTTCACTCATTCTAAAGTTTGAGTCAATACTGCCATTGCACACAGATATCATTAGATTTAGTGTGTCATTCAAATAGATGTTTGGCAGTTCAGGGAGTAAACTGTGAAGTTTCTGAGCTTTTTCTATGGTACCTGTTCTTCTTTAGACCAACTCTTGTATTTTTCAAAAGAGAGAACGATGTATTACCTAAATAATCTGTCTTATTGCAGCTAGATTTTCTCACTAGAGCAAAAAGATCAAACTGAGCTCCAAAAAAACCCAAAAAACTTAATGCGTATACCTGTTTACGATCAACCGAATTTAACGCTTAGTTATACATATCAAGTGTTACCTATCTGTAACTTTTCCCACATACCAGTTTACATCAGTGATAAAGATATCTGCCTTTGAAATGAGAGCAGAGAGTGAGTTTGCTCACCAGGCAGATCTTGATGCGGATCTTGTTCACTGTGGTCAAGTTGCTAAGAAAGGTATGACTGCCTCAACATAAGAAAGATTCAGGAGGAGACGCTATAACCATCTGTGCATGCCTTGTGGAGAAAGAAAATCTTCCACTGAGAGAATCACTTAAGCTGAGGTTTAGAACTATGATTTAAGTATTTTGGGGGGGCTCAGCCTTTTATTATTTGCGGGTAAGTACAAGCGCTACTTTACCTTTTGTATGAGGTAATATAAAGGCATTCTGGACTGGCAAGTATTTTGGTGTAGCATGGGTGAAAGAGAACAGAAGAGATTTTTACAAACAAGTCAAACATTTTTTTTATTACAAGGCAATCATAGCTAGAACTGGCACAAGTTGTAGGAGATTTAAGAACCGGCAGCAGATATCTATGTTTCTTTGCAACAGAGTATTTGAGAATTGCTCCATGTTGGATACTCCTATTAAGAATGAAAATACCTCATTTGTGTTTTAACCTATTCCACTTTTAAACTGATTAAAAGGTTGGGAGTTAACTGAATTTTATTCCAGAATGTTGGGTTTCTACCTGTGATGCTGTGGCTGTGTGGTTGAAACCTGCTTTATATTCATGCTGTACCTTTCAGCGATATTCAAACCCTTCGTTTAAAGAAGGACTGTATGAAATATGTTATAGATTTTCTTAGGTAGGCATTTAATGATAGTTGTGGATTGACTCGTATCTCAATGTAACTTTCCTGGCTTTTTTTAGCTAATAATTCTGAATAAGTGAAATTTTTTAAAGGGTATCTTGTATCTAAAAAAAAGCTCTCCTACCTTCTGCAAATCCTACGTGACAGTTTATTTTTGACTAAAAATAATATATAGTTATAGATATACACGGTATGTATATATAGAGAGTGTGTGTGTGCGTATATGTATAAATAAAAATACACACACACACTGCTGTGATACTCTGGAAATCTCCATTTCTCCACAGGAAGACCTCTCTAACAGAATTAACTTTTTTATTTAGATATTAAAAAAAAAATTAACTGACTCTTTTGAGGATAGAAAGACTAGAAAAAATTTTGCTAGTCTTACGAAGAAATGGGAACATGCAGCAACAAAATTACAAATGCCCGGAGACATTTTGGTGGTATATCAGAATTGAAACATTTCCCTTCCCTGACAAAATGCTGCTACTTGTGAGGAAAAAGGGGGCGATGGGGAGGGAGGCAAGAATTTGCAAGGAGTTAAGTTTTCCAAGTTGTACACATTTTCTCCAGAATGCAAACAACTTTTGAAGAATTTTGCTTAGTGAGAGGCTTTCCTGCCATATGAAATGTGCTAGAGGGAGAAAGTCCTGTTCGTTGCTTAAATAAATCCAACTGCGGAGCTGAAATACCAGCACAGTCTTGGAAAATCCTAAAGAAGGTACCTTTCCTCAGGGGCAGATTAATGCAGCGTGCACAGGTATGACAGTGACTTGAGCACACAGAACTTATTTTAACATAGATTTGGTGAGGCTTTCCTTTGTCTCTCTAACAGATGAGCTAATGCCATCACCTAGCAATTATCAAGTAGTGTGATGTTATGTAATGAAAGTATAAATAGCACGAGGACTAAAACTAGTAAATCTAACAGACTAGCGAGCAGACAAGAGCAGGAATACTATTTGGAACATTTTGATTAGCATCTGAACGCTGTCATTTAAAAAGACATTTAGATTTGATGCTACAGTAAAGCTGCAGGCCAGGAGAGCTGCAGTCCTTGATCTGGAGTGACATTCATGTTGTGCCCCTGGATAAATCACTTGGCCTCTGTATACCTCTTAAAAGGAAGATAGAAAATTGGAAAAAGGCAAAGGGTGCATACTTGAAATTTCTTAAGCAAGCTGGTTATCTTATGTTTGAATTAAGACTACCTGTGAACTTTGTTTCTTAACGACTGACCGACAAATAGCCTGTGACGTGCAGTTTGAACTATCAGGTTATTTCACCACTGGTGTAAAGCCTTTTAGGGTTGTTTTTGTACTTGTTTGGCAACATTCAGAGAGATAACGTGAAGAAATGTAAGAGGTCATGTTTACCTGGAGAAGAGAGGCTGTGTGGAAGAAAAGGCTCTCCCCAGCCCCCAGGAGGCGTGGGAGGGATCCAGAGCTTTCATCTCCTTCAGTATCTGGCACGTTTCTCTGAATGTGCCGATTACGTTAGGGTGGCATTTCCAGTTCATGGGGAGGAAGGGAGGGAGGAGGCTCACTGCATCATGAAATGTGACTTGGTTTTGAAGAGCGCCGTCTTTTAGACTTGCCAGCAGAAAATGCTTCCTAAACATATCTTCAGAGACTCATCGTTTAAAAAGAGCCAACAACAGAAATACCCTGTCATTTAAGAGTGGTAGATGGTTGAAGTTGGGCTTGCAAGGTGCATCAGTTTGCAAAACTTCAGGGTTGTTTCTGAACCTCTGGTGCTGCTTTTCTGGCACCTACAGTCATATGGAAGGGTCTTCTGCACTTGCAGAATGTAAAAAGGCTTCAAAACTACTTTGGAAGCAAGCTGTTACATTACAGAAATATTAGGTGCAAGCTCAAGGACCACTGTAGTGGTAA